AAACGTAAACAGACACACCTTTTGATTAAAAAATAAAATTCAGACTTCAATATGCGGGTGTGCTGTCGTACATCCGCAGCACTGAGTAGTGTGACATTTGGTTAAGGAAATGGTGCGGGTCCTATCGTGATGGACGATGTCAACTGTAACGGACGGGAAAGTGCTTTGGAAGGTTGTCAACTCATAGGGTGGGGTAGCCATGGCTTTCTTTAAAGTATGTGGTGCGCCGTCAACTAGTATTGTCTACTGCGTCTTCAGCACAAGGCAACGCAAGATTTAATTTGGACAAGATTGGGGTTCATGGATGGGAAAGATCTTTGGCACAGTTGATATTTCCCGGTGGATGAGATTGTCATAACTATAAACATGGTGAAGGTTCTGGCGTGGTTTGCGTTAGCGCCCAAAACCGTGATCCATGAGACTCATCGGTTTAAAATGCTTAATGCTTCATTCATCTAGTTGATACCAAGCAATATAATACTATCTGATTGAAAGCACAAGACGGGCTGTGTTTGCTTGTCATTGTAGGGTGGTAATGAGATTCATTCAGCTAATTGATATCAAGAAATAGTCGGAATACTCCGCTTTGATTGACAGCACATGACGGACAGTGTTTAATTGCCTGTTGCTGTAGGGTGGGAATGAGATTTATATAACATCAGAAAAAATCTGTTAACATTTGGATCGTGGGGGGGGGGGGGCTCATTTTCTAGTATTTCCAAAATACATTAAACGTTGTCCGTTCACATTAACAAATTCTTTTGCAATGTTAATGTTACCGCGATGCTAGCTCGTCTCGATTTTTAATTGGTTAATATTTGAATGGCTTCCCTTAATGATTGTTAATGCATTTTGGTCGATTTTCAAACATTGTCAATGAATGTTTCATGCGCAGTGCTTTCCCCTCTCTCCCGTCCCCTACTCTTTTCCATTGTCAATGAATGTTTGATGCGCAGTGCCTTCCCCTCTCTCCCGTCCCCTACTCTTTTTCATTGTCAATGAATGTTTGATGCGCAGTGCTTTCCCTTCTCTCCCGTCCCCTACTCTTTTTCATTGTCAATGAATGTTTGATGCGCAGTGCTTTCCCCTCTCTCCCGTCCCCTATTCTATTCCATTGTCAATGAATGTTTGATGCGCAGTGCTTTCCCCTCTCTCCCGTCCCCTACTCTATTCCATTGTCAATGAATGTTTGATGCGCAGTGCTTTCCCCTCTCTCCCGTCCCCTACTCTTTTCCATTTTCAATGAATGTTTGATGCGCAGTGCTTTCCCCTCTCTCCCGTCCCCTACTTTTTCATTGTCAATGAATGTTTGATGCGCAGTGCTTTCAAAGTCTGTCTTTCCTGTGGATGAGTTGATTTCACTGACAATGTCTTAAATGAAATATCCAATGAACAGAACCCTAAATAGAAGTTATTCACACTTCAGTCCGGTTGACGTCTCTGTCGTAAAGTCCCTAATGATTGATGCGCAGCGCCAGCTCAACTGTCACAGGTGTAATCCCACTGAGCAACAAATTGTGTCTTTAACTGTTTTTACGCTTTGCTAAATGAAATTTAATTGCCCTTTTTGTGTGGTTTGGATGAGCCATTATGTCGGACTACAAGCTGTGTGTGCAGCGTAGTGGATCTCTGTATACTTAACCACATGCTGTGTGACCACAAATATTATTTGTTAGTTTTTTGACCACTATTTATAGCCTGTTTCTATTGATAACACATTTTGTACCTTCACGGTTAACTGAGCCCAGTCAGATAGCCTTGACAACGAACTAAAAAACCTTGATCCGGAATATAAATCAAGCAAGGGCTGCAGAGTAAACAGTTTTATCTCGTCCTATGAGGTCAACCATGGTTAAGTATTCCATTCTCTTGCATAGTGAATGATGGCATGGAGCTTAGATGATCAAGCAGCAAGATATTGTCGACAAGCCACCTTCCTAAATAACACCTTAAATTAAAAAATCCAGATATGACTAAGAAATAGTCATTGACAGCTTTTACTTAACTAATAAAGTTTGCAAGTTTTAACAATGCCTTTCTAATCTCTGCATGCTCAAATACGTGCGCCATACTGACCATACAGGAACACAATTTCCTTTTTTATATATTTTCCGTTTATTTATTGGATTAGTCTAAATAAATAAAGTTTTCAAACTGGTTGCACCATGCCTGACTAATGTTCTTCTTCTCGATCGAGTCTTGAAAGCAACTTTTCCAGCAATAGAAACACCGATGAAGTAAACAGAGGTAGAAAAGCTGGAAAAAGAAACTAAATAGTAAAGCGTTTGAACTCGGCAGCAAGAAGCAAGAAAGACAAATTTTAAAAACGTCTAAAAAATAGATTTAACCAGAATATCATAGCAGTTTGTTCCAGAGAATCAAATAAAAATCCAGCTACAGTGTGAAACGGTTAAAGCCATGTGCGGACATGCAGGTGGTCGGTAGGAACCATAGATAAGTAAGGTGCAAGCATGGGTGTAGCACGCTAGTTGCATAGCTCGTATTGTGACATGTGCTTCAGGTGTTACAAGAAAAGCTTTTCTTGTATGTACTTCTGATTAAAAATAAAATAATAATAATAACAAAATCAAAATATCCTATCACTCCGCTGATTACCTATTTTATACTCTTTAAGGGTTTATGAAACCTTAACATATAGATTCTCACCTTGTCTTATCACTATTCCTAGTTATATACACAGCAAGCCTAAAGGAGACAAATTAAAACAATGGGATAAAACTCCCTTTTGGATTGTTTTATTTCAAATTTTGAGGAACATAAAAAATTACAGATAATGCAAACAAACAATGTCGTTACTTTTTAAATGCTTTATTAAAATTCCTACAGTAAAAAAAAAAAAAAAAAAAAAAAAAAAAAAATTGTTCAAGATGATCAGGTATAGGACAAGTGGGTCCTATCATAACTCTACGTTACGCATTACATATTTTAGCCGGAACATTGTATTTTGATTCTAACTATGTTAAAACGTAAGCTTTGAAGAGAAAAATATGGATGAGATGATATCAGCCAGTAAAAGAAATGAAAATAGTTTAAGGTAAAATATAATAAATCGTTAAACTTTAATGAGGAGTTCGTCAGTTTTTTTGGGCCATATTTATTTTCGGGTAGCTAGTTCGTTAACCTGTATTGATAGAAGATATCGATGTAGCTCGAGGTAGATTGTGGAATTTCTAAAAACGTAGTTTAATGAATTCATATCCCATGGACTTTTTTTTGTTGCCTTGTTTCTACGCTAAATCGATGTTAATTCCATGCAATAAGAGCCCTACGACACAACTTTGGTTTTGCCTTGGGCAGTTTCATTTGAATTTCCTTTGCCATCAAAACCTTTTAACCTAAACCTTTTATAGATAGCCTAAAACAACCTTTGGGCTGATCTAAGTAGGGCATAGCTAACTCACAGATTGAACCCTGAAACAACCTCTGGGCTGATCTAAGTCAGGGCATAGCTAACTAACAGATCACGCCCTGAAACAACCTCTGGACTGATCTACGAAGTCAGGGCATGGCTAACTCACAGATAGAACCCTGGAACAACCTCTGGGCTGATCTAAGTCAGGGCATGGCTAACTCACAGATGAAATCCTGAAACAACCTCTGGGCTGATCTAAGTCATAGCACGGATAACCCACAGATCGAAAGTGCAATTTAGCGTGTGGGGTCTTGCGGAGGGAGAACTAACAGACTCTACCGACATGTGGTGTTGAGTCCAGGAATCGAATCAAAAGATAGATCTAATTTAGTCATGACGTGTCAATTAGTTGTTGTTTTTTTTTGTTTTTTTTGTTTTTTGTTTTTTTTTTTGTTTTTTTGCTATTACAAACCTTTTACTTAAGTCATGGTGAAAAGGAAAATATTAGTAATTGGAAGCAGGATAAAGAAAGCAATAGTATTAGTGTCTAATGCAATTAGTATCAACTTTAAACTGAGTCTTAAGAGAGAGATATCCTAACACCCGGTTTACCTAGGAGCTATTTACATCCTTGGGCGGAAAATGGATCAATTCAGGAGAAAAGGTGGGAAAAGAGAGAGAGAGAGAGAGAAAGAGATAAAGGAAGGGAAGGTAGAGAACAATTCGAAGCGCTCTAAGATATAAGGGATGAACAATTTTTTTCATTGCTTAAAAAAAAAATTAAAGAAATAAAGAAATTAAAATAATAAACTCATGCATCATTATCTACCTGATTGTAGTTCAAAGCTCACTGAAAACAATTCAAGAAAAAACTGAATATAAAGTCAAGAAAAGGAAACTACACAAGAAAGGAATATTTAAGTTTTCAAAACATTTGTATTGTTATCGTACTTTATACTGTAATGTTTATCTATGTGGTCTATATTGAAGATATAGAATTCTTGAATAATTTATGTTGCTATTGTTACAGGTCGTTTCATTATTAATGCTGCTCAAAAAAGGTCAAGCATTAAAGCCAAGAGTATTCTATCTAATACTTACAGTAAATACTT